TCCGAGTGGGTCTTCCCATCAAGAAGTTTCTTCACGTCAGCTTCAACACCAGCGTGTAGTCCCCTCTCTTGAGCAAGCAATTCTGCAGGCGGCTCCTCACCTCTAACTCTAGCTCGATCCAAGGCATCCCTTTTACGAGCTTCAGCTAACTCCCAATCGCATACCACAATAAGTGCCTGGAAATGTTCAATGGTATTAAGCATACAGGTTTATTCGCATGCATGTATATAGTAACAGCATGAAACAAAGAAAGAAGGCTATTGTGCTAATCAACTATCAAAAGGAGACAACAAGAGGGTCCATTAAAAGATATCAAAATTCCATACGTGCACACTCACTTCATACGCATGAACACCTTGAATGCAAGAAAAAAAAAAGACTCGTTGAAGAACATACCTCCCAATACTGTACGCGTGTTGGAGTTGCACGATCTGAATCCAGATACATTTTGATATCATCCCGAAGCTCTTCCATATCTTTAACCGTGAGTCCCTGCATCATACATGTCATGAGTACGTCTACTTTATTAAAAAGCATCACAACAATCTGAAAAGAAAAACAGCGAACTCTCATTGTTCACCAAAAGATGACAACTACTCAATCAGAGACTCCGTGTATAGAGATCTACACTCTCGATCTCAGAAGTAAATCATCCAGTATCACTCTCACATTCAGCTTCTTTTTTTCATTAAAAAAAAAAGAATAATTATCCTGTCTACACTATAGAGGTTGTGTATGCTGAGCTTATAATTCAGGAAAAATCCTATATAAAGATTTTTTTTTGGGGTAGTTAGCTTATGCATAGGTTGGTAAGATACTAACATTTCTACGAGATACCCATAAAATCTAGCCAATATAGGTGCTATTTCAACATCTAAATTACTAATGGCTTAGACTTGCTTAATCACAATATGGATTTACCATCTAGGATAGTATTAGTAAATACCTTGAAAACCATGTAAGGTTCAGTGAGCTCGATATCCATATCATCTGAACCATCCAAGTGCTTGCAGAGGACATCGATTGGCTTCAGTCGTCCTTCACGAAGTCTAATCTCTGATCTGACCTTGCTTTGATCGAAATGGAACTCTTCCTCCTTCTTCTCCCAATCTTGAAACTCAGCTCGAGCACGTTCTCTAGCCAACAATGCCATTTCTTCCTCATGTCGAGCTTTCTCGACAGCTCTCTCTTCTCTCCTCTTCTTAACCTTTTCAACCTCTGTCATCCTTTCCCCACGTCTTCTCTTCTCAGCTTTAACGGAAAATTCGTCCAAGGAAACTCCATGGTGAACATCTTTTTCAATTTTCTTCCGCCACACAAATGTCTCAGTGAGATTGGAATCCCCAAATGGATTTGAATCATTGGAGTAGCCAGACACTGACTGAGTCTTCAGCTTCTTTGCTGCACGTAATGCCTACAAAGAATTTAACAAATAGCATAAAGTTAGCAACACGCTCCAACACATACAAAGCACCCAAAACCAAGTAACATATGAAAAAAACAAATACCTTCTTCTGAGCCTTTTTGGCCATATACTCCTTGATTTCTTCCTCAGAGGGCTTCTTAGACGAACTTCTCTTCTTACTCTTCCGTCCACCATCGCTATCAGAGGAATCATCGCTGCTTGAGTGATGGCGTCGACGACTGCTGCTACTCTTCCGGCTCCTTGAACTCCTGGGAGGAGAATCAGAACCGGAGTCAGAAGAGTAAGACTCGGAGTCAGACTCGGACTCATCTCTCCGCTTCTTTTGCTTCCCATGTCTATCTCTCCTACTCTTACCATGAGATCCCATACTTTGAAAAGTAACCACGCCGCTGAAGATAAAAAATCAATCAGTAGCTCTTCTGACGCAGTCGGAAATCACAAAGGTTAGCAAACACTAACCCTTAGATCAAAATCAACCTCTCAAGCAAGAACTCGAATCCACCAGAAAAATAAAAGCTTAAAACTTCTATTGATAAGAAAAAAAAGATTGTCCAAAACAGAATACCTAAAACCCTCTTATATAGAGAGAGCTTAAAACGTAAAAAGGAAAAACTAAAAAAAAAGGAAAACTTCTAGAAAACAATAGATTAGGTTCCTACATCACTTTCAAAATTGTCACAAACAAATAATCAAAGAGAGTCCCTCGAAACGAACATGTAAACCCTAATTAACCAATTCAAAAATAAATTAACCAATTCAATTGAAATCAAAAAGCTATAGACGTGATTAATACTCGAGATTGATGCATATAGAGTGAGCAGAAACCAAACGAAAGTAGAATCGATTCCTCAGAAACCTAATCCAGACTACACGATTTGGGCTAATCTAAGCGTAACTATCGAACGAATAAGCAGAGCGTATAGAGAGAGAAGAGGTAAACAGCATACCTAACTGGAAGCGGAGATTAGAAAAATCAGTGGCGGGTGAATGCGGCGTCTGCGCGACGGTGGAGACTTCTCCTCCCGATAAACTGAATCCAAGGGACGCTGCTACAGTTAATATCCAAAACAAGGGTTGATATTTTATTACATCTATGGGGGTAGTTTCGTCATTCTAGTGTCGGTTCAATTAAATTATCTCCCCGGTTAAGGATAAGTCGACCGTCTTTCAGAAAATTGGCCGGTTCAATAAATAAACCGGCTATCACTAACCCGCGTTAACCCACGACAAGTGTATACTCTAATGGGGATGATTGGTAAGTGCTGTGGCTTTTATTTTTTGGCTTTAGAATAATAGTTGTAAATTTAATTGCTGTAACTGTAGATTTATATTAATAACTTTCAAAGCACTAAATGTAAAGCTCTAGAAAAACTGATTTCCAAAGCCATTTTATTTCCTATTTTAATTTTAGAGTTGTAGCTTTAAATTAATTTTCTAAAGTATGATTCATATAATAAAGTGGCTGTAGAAAGAAAATGAGCCGTAGAGAGCACTCACAACACTTACCAATCATCCTCAATATCTCCTCTTCTTCTTCTTCCCCAAATGACATTAGAGGTAGACGTGTGTGTGTGAAGCTTTTACCATTTTTTTATTTCAATTTTTAGATGAAATTAATAACAAATTCCAATATATATATATATATATATATATATATATATATTTATTTATTTATTTTTGTGTTCATTTACGCACTTGTACATAAGAGAAAAAAAAAAGAAGACACACATATCAATATTTGTATTCAGAAACATAATACACTTTATTATGCCAAAACATCAGCAACAATTTATTATAACTTGATTCAACAAAAAAAAACAATTTATTATAACTTTTATTCCTTACTCTAACAAAGGTATGATATTATTATAAATATTATTTGAACTTAAAATGTAGATAAAAAATCAGGGCGGGGGGCGGGGGCATCCAAAATAAAAACATACGCATACTGGTTTTTTGTCTGAATCCTGTCCGCAGATACCAGCCCCCTTTTTATGCCTTTTCACACATTCGGCGTCACATCTTTTCCTTTCACATGTTCCAGCTTTGTTTGGTATATTTTCACGACATTGCTTACCTTTTCCTATCTGAGCAATCGATATTTCTCCTGTTATTATCAACATTAAAACGTAACCTTAGTTTCATATTTTAAATAAAAAAAATCATTTTATCTGTAAAACATGTATTTAGAGGATTTCTGCATATTTGTAGGGAAAAAAAGCCTGAAAATCTGAATATCTTATCTCTTAATCATTGATTATTCTTGAAAAATCATTAAACTCAATATTAAAGCATTATACATACAATTTATATAGGTATATATAATCAACTGTTGCATAAAAGTTATTGTAGAATGATTATATAATGTATTAATAAAGTTGTAAATGAAAATACAAACCGAACCAAAGAATTGTGAGCATAACGAAACCAATAAACCAAAGATTGAAAGCAATCTTCATCTTTGATAATGAAATAATTGTATTTTAAAAATTAGAAAGACAGAGAAGTACATTTATAGATGAATTACAAATTGAAACATGTCTAATTTAAGCTATGTATATTTTTAAGTTCCGATATAAAGGGATCTAGTTTGACCCAAAAAAAATTCACATCTTTATTTTTATATTTTTTAATAAATAAAAAGTTTAAGTTCTTTATTTTATATCTAAAATTGTAGAGTTTGGATGCAAAATTTATATCTAAAAAACTAAATACTTAAATACCTTTCAATACAAAACATAATTATTTTTACATTAGGTTTTATTATTATATCATATTTTAACAGTAAAATTATGTTTTCTAGCAAAAATTGCAATCATATATTTTCATAAAAACTGATAATCCCGCTTTCACGCTAAAATCGTGATGGAGGTGAAATTGTATTGTGTGTTGTTTTACGCGTCATAAGTTGTTAAGTAAGCCTGTTTAAAAAAAAAAAATTGTTTAAGTAATAGGGTACCTAATTATGTACTTGATAGGAGCGTTAGAATAGTTCATGTAGCTAGCGTTAAAATGTGTAAGTCACAAGCCCTCAAGATGCATGGACATATTTGGTGGCTTGTTTGTGTAACACGAAAACGATACAAATTAAGTAATTCTTCGAATGATTTGTTGGCTCATTATCGGGGTAACTTGAATTTTTGGAAATGTAGAGTTACCTTCAACCGAGAAAAAAGGACTTTAGTGTTTTAAGGAAAAGAGGAGTTTAACATTATGGTATTATCACCATTTTTTTCTTTTTTGATCAAACATACTTGCATTACTTAAAGAAGAGTTTAGCTCCTAGAAAGGGAGTTTGTTACAGATAGAGAGAGAGCTGATTTTGCCACAGTATCAGCCTCTGAATTAAAGTTCCTAGAAACAAAGGAGAAAGAGATCACATCAAAGAGAGACATGTAATGATAGATATCAAACATGATCCCAAAAAGTTTAGACTGAGAGGCTCCATTCTTCAAAAGCTTGATAAGAGATAGAGAATCAGAGACCGCTAGGGATCGGACGTTTGAATAGACTGTAGTAGCTACCACAAGACGAACAGCCATGGCTTCTAGCGACATATATAAATCCAATGTGGAACTACTTAATTTTCAATTGAATGTAATTGACTACCTAATTGAGTGACACCTAAACATGAGATCTTTTTCTAATTATTACAAAATTGAGGTTACAATTTTTCAAATGTTTCTCTTTTAATATATAGGGGATATATATATATATATATATATATATATATATATATATATATATATATATTTATTTATTTATTTTTGTGTTCATTTACGCAATTGTACATAAGAGAAAGAAAAAAAGGAAGACACATCTATTATATAAAAGAATGCTTCTCTCCTTCTAAAGCCCTCCACGTTGGATGCCAGCACATAAAGTCCACGTGGACATTCTAAGTTTCGCGTTTCGTTTTATTCCGTTTGGTTGTGGGCTTTCTGCATATCTGGCCCAATAAAACTGAATCTCCCTAACCCTAATACGACTTCATCGAGGAAATAAAGTCGTCTCTCCTCTTCTTGGGACAACTGACTCTTGCGATTCTTCTCATTATCTCAAACCACCTGCGTTAAGCTTCGTGATTAATCGCCTGCATTTGTTCCTCCACTATGTTGACATCAGTGCTTTGTTTTGGCGATTTGTATAAATATGGAGACCATAACAGCTCCTATCACACACCAAGTCATCCATTTGCAAGTCCTGCACCCTCCTATAATCCTTGATGGCAAACTAAAAAGAATCTCGAGAGCAAGTTGTCACGGCTTGGTCATAACTGCCGCTCCATTGATGAGGTTTGAATCACACAAGCTTCTTTTGTTTTAGTTTGTGTGAGTTTATATCTATTGGTGTTTTGCTTGATTTTCTTTTTCTTGGCAAGTTACTTCTGTTTTTTCACATGCTGGTTTGTGGAGTCCTCGAATCTGATTGTCGGTATTGATGTCACCTAAAGCAATGATTGGACAGGTTAGACAAGTTATGATCTTTATGTATACCCAATCTTTAAGGCTACATACAAGTAAATGCTGCTATGATCTGAAAGCTAACTGGTGATTTGGTTTAGAGGCGAGATAATTCGGTTGGCAGAGTCTGCATTACATTGGAACAACTCCAAAACTTTATCAGCAAGAAGAGCCTGCATTACATTTGGTTGGAAGAGCCTGACCTCAATGAAGATAAATTGATCTCATTTTATGGATTTGGAGATGGTTATAACCTCAAAGCTCTGGTCTTTTATCATTTAACTGCTAAGTTTGTTTTGTGGTCACAGAGTTAAGGTTAATTTCTTTGGTTTTGGCTTTGCAGCTACAACACATGATCAGGATGTCTTTAGTTTCTGTTCCAGTGAT